TATATTTTACATGAAAGTGATGACTCCTTGTCCTATCCATGAATGATTAAATACTTATTTGTTGTATTTATATTGGGCACACCTAAAATGTTTGATATGTTGTAAAGTTGCTTTCATTCACGTGAAATTGGATGTATTTTCTTTTGGTGATTATAATATTGTACAGTTATTAAAACTGCAAGTTGCTTCATTTTCTCACATATTTAAGAGGATAGTTACGGCCCTAAACACTTCGCTCAATTAATTTGTAATATATATATATATATATATATAATATCTAGGTTATGCATACTTATATCAAATATACATAAACAATAATGTATAGATTGTATATATTTGATCATATTGATAAATTAGTTGACTGAACTATCGAACTATGTTTCTATCTAACTCGGTTTGTTCATGTATTTACTTCCATAATTATGTTTAATTATGGCATGATATTGTCGAATATATTGAAAATGAATTATGAGATGCACCTAATTATATGAACGAGTTAATTAGATTTTGTTACTAATATGAGTTTGGGATGCTAATATTTGAGATGGTTCACTCGATGGAAGTAGTTAAGTTAAGCGCACTAAATGTTGATCACGAAACTCTAGGCATGAGTATCACTAGATAATATTATATCAATTTTAGAAAATTTATATATAAAATATCTAGTTTTATGAAGAGATCGTTGATTATTTTTTTTGGAATCCCAGGATAACCCGCAGTAGCCGCTACAATCTCTCCCCTTCGGGTGAGCACTTTGTGCGCACTAGGTAAACCCCCCACTGTGTAATAGCCTGCAAACCACACAGGAGATGTTAACCGCACTAAGCAAGCCCTATGCAACAGGCGAGATCGTTGATTTGCATGCCCCTTTTTAGTACATAAATTCGCCATTGATCACGACTAGATCAATTCAAAATCCTCATTGTCAAACTATCCAAACAAAGGCTCAGTGATACTTGATCAATGGTTTCAATCAAACTGCAGCAGTCAAGCCCGCTAATGACATTGTCTACTTTGGATCTAAGCCCGCACGACTTTAAAACGTGTCATTAATATGTAAGACTTTTTTTTAAAATTTTCAAATTTGATCATTGATGATGGCAAAAATTACAGCTTTGAATTTGGCATCCCAAACTTTTACATGATCAAAGTGTAGAGGTACTATAGACATGCTCTACTAATACGTAACACCAA